CTGTCAACTCTCTGAGCTCTGACACTATGAAGAAAGCTGGAGGAAGAGACAGGAGAATGGCTTCTACAGGATAGGAAGGGGATGTGAGAATTTCCTTTCTCAGTTCAGGTCCTTTAAAACAGGGGTCCCCAACCACCGGGCCGCGGACTGGTACCAGTCCGTGGAACATTTCCTACTGGGCCACCGGTTTGCTGGGCGCCGCCATCTTGTTTGATGAGAAAGTGCTTCTGGGTGAGCTTTTCCGGTTGGAAAGCTGTGTTTGGGTCCTGAAGGAATCCTCGCGCCTTAGTTTCATCAAAGGGGGGGGCTTCGAACAAAACTAAGGCGCGAGGATTCTTTCAGCACCCAAGGCAAGGCGAGCCGAGCGACCGTCCCGAAGCAAAGCCCATCAACAAAGGTACAAAGGTGGAGTTGAAGGTGGCGGGGAGAAGCGGGGGATGGCTGGCTGGCTGGTCGCTCGGCTCACCTTGCCTTGCCATGCATGCTGATGCCGGTACCGGGCCGCGGATCATTTTGTGATGCCGGTACCAGGCCGCGGATCATTTTGTGATGCCAGTACCGGGCCGTGGCACAAAAAAGGTTGGGGGCCACTGCTTTAAAGGAATAATCTAATATATTCTGTGGAGCTTTAGGATCCATACAACTGCAATTCAGGAATCTTTTATTAAAGTCAAGGATCTTTTCCCAGTTTGACAAGGATTATTTTTATCTGTGCTGCAAATGCCACTACAATTTATCAACATTGCTATCTTCTCCTAAGTTCCTTTCAAGGAACTGCATCCAGTGATGTGTATTGCAATTCCCACAAACAAATCTGAAGTGTTTCTGCAAGGAGGGAAGGATCAAACGTTCCAGACTGAAACAGCATATCTGATATTCAAAGCTCCAGGTTTTTCTCTTCCTCATCGGAGTTTATCATAGTAATCTCAAAATGTGTTTGTGTTCTGCTTTTTTCTCTCTTTTGGTTCAGAAGAAATAATGGGGTGATTTTCCCTCAAAGAAAATCTTCTTAACATTCTACACAATTTCTTTATCTACCTGTACCATCAGATGTGCTCCTTCCATTTATTTTATTCACTTTTCTTAATCTTTCTAAATTTTAAAAGATCCCTTCCATGTATCCAGAAGCAAATCTATTTCTGAGCAGACACACTTTTAGGTAGTTAAGATAATCTAATGAGGAGAAAGGAAGAGAGATGCTGACCTTGCAAAGGTGGTGTCTACAGAAGATCCTTATAGCAAGATGTGGCAAATAATTCATAGTTCATTTGCATAAAACACCAACCTTAGTATGAACTTCAGTCAGGCTTTTTGTGGCTTATTATGTCTTGAGAACCCACCCTCTTTAGGATTTAATGCAACAGAGCCCAGAAAATTGGTTAATTCAGTAGCACAATAAAAGACATCCGCGTGAATGCAGTGCATTTTTCCTACATTAGATTGATGCCTTTTTTCTCTCATTCAGTTACTTTCTTTCTCAGACATATGCATATACAGTGGAGTCTCAGGTCACGACCATAATCCATTCCCGGACTCTGGTCGCGACCTGATGTGGTCGTGTCCGGAAGCACAACTGACTGTGCATTCACGCAGTAAAAAATATGGCACCAGAGGGGAAATTGCCGCGGGAAGGGAATCTTTTTGTGCCGATTTTGTTCGCCACCCGATTTTTGAATCGTAACCCGATTCAAAAATCGGATAGATTTTTTGTTCACCACCCGATTCAATCGCTAACAGGAGCGTTCGTGACCCGCGTTTCCACTGTGTTCTAAGAAGGGGAGCATCTTTCCAATAACTTGAAGGAACACAGGAACTATACAGGTAGTCCTCGACTTATAACAGTTCATTTAGTGACCGCTCAAAGTTACAACGGCATTGAAAAAAGTGACTCACCACCATTTTTCACACTTATTATGATTGTTGTGGTCACGTGATCAAAATTCAGATACTTGGGAACTGGTTCATATTTATGCTGGTTGCAGTGCCCCTGAGATCATGGGATCACATCTGGTGACCTTCCAACAAGCAAAGTCCAAATGGGCAAGCCGGATTCACTTAACAATCATGTTACTAACTCAACAACTGCAATGATTCACTTCACAACTATGGTAAGAAAGGTCATAAAATGGGGAAAGTCTCACTTAATGAATGTCTCACTTAGTAACATAAATCTTGGGCTCCATTGTGGTCATAAGTTGAGGACTGTTGTAATCATCACCTGCTTTCTGAGTCCTAAAGCATAGAAAATATGAATGAAATGTGAAAGAACATTCTACATTCTCCTTTTTGAAATAGTCCCATTCCTTTATCCCCAGAAGAAACACCAACAAAAAGATAAGCTGATTTATGTTAAACATATTTTGCAAAATTGGGATAATTTCGAAAAACTTCAGATGCGTAGGGTTTCTGTGACGGTCAGAACAGAATTCATACTGAGAGTGGACGAGTTGAGATAACAGTTTGCTAAATCAGGGGTCGCCAACCTTTTGGACCTCAGGGACCACCAAACTCATAATTTTAAATCCTGTGGAACACTAATATGAATTTTGACTGATAGTGGCTTGCTGATGTTGGTGGGAAAGTCAGTCCCAATGTTCCAGAGCTGCTTTAGTCACAAGACTGGCCCTTTGGCATCCTGGAGCTCTGCCGAAAAAACAGAGGCAGCAGACCCTGGGAAAATCCCCAAAAGACTGCAGGAAAATTCCCCACCCTGTTTTCCTACCAATCGATCATTCTTTATTTGGTATCGCAGGATACCGTCTCCAGCATCGTTTTCAGGGGGGGTGGGGAGTTTTGGCTTCATGCAGTGAAAGCAGTTCTCGTAGCAGTTCTTAGAAAACAACCAACCAAACTAATAGAAAAATTAAAAAGTATCATCAAAAAATAAATCTATTTTTTTCCAACTCAACACTATTACTTAACTGATTGTTACATATATTTAATAGTTTTAAATATAAAAAAATGTGTTTTTAAAAGATAGAATTACATATTTTATGCCTGTTCATATTTCTGGCAGATTATCCCAAGAACAACTTTTCCATATCACAGTTGAATTTTATATATTATACCTTAAAGCAGAAGACCTTAACAGCTACTTATAATTTCCATTTTGAGCCAACAATTCCTTTATGATGAATCTTTGAAGAACAGCACAACAATCCTAGAGAACATGTTAAGCCAACATATCCAATGTTTTAAGAAAAACCCTCTCAATCAAATTTACACACACATATCATATTTTATAGGATATGTAGAAGTCTTGGGAAGTACTGCTGGTAAACTATATAGCATTTAAAATGTATTACGAGCACTGTATTTCATAAATGTTTTCAGATGAAAAAATGTGACAGATTGAAATTAAAAAAACTCATATGGTCATTGTGGAAGGAGCTTTCTCTAAAACAAATGGTACTTACTAAAATTAGTTAAGGATCTCCAGCAACTCTAAAAAAATTGCCTGCCAATGATGGTTTGGGAAAAAAAACACATCTGGGTAAGGAAGTTAGGGATAATAAAAAAATGTTTTTGTCATTTACTACATAGGTAAATGGTCTATAGGTAGATGGTCTGAAAAATTCTCTACTGCATGAGATTAAGCTGAGAAATTTTAAGCCGTCTCTTGTTTAAAAAAAAACCCTAAATATTTCAACCTCTATATAAACAGAAGTTTTACTGTACTTTTTTTATTCCACAACTTTAATGCAGTTCTGAAAGCAATACTTGTCTTGAACACTACTAATTAAGTCTGGGCTGTATGATAGCCATCAACGAACTAGACCAGAGAAGGATGACAAAGATAATTAAGGGCTGGCAGCCATACCTGGCAAAGAAAGGTTGGTGAATATGATAGCTATCTTTAAACATTCAAAGGATTGGCACAGGGTTGATGCAGCAAACATGTTCTCTGCTGTTCAGGAGCAAAATTACTATGCTTAAATTACAGGGGAAGATGACTTTAATTCAGTATTAGGAAGAACATTCTGATAGCATGAGGTGTTTGACAATATGAAAAACTATCTCCAAAAGAGATGCTTACTATTATTATGTTTGGTCACAGTCATTCAGATAGTTAGACTGGATATGCATTTTTGTTCTCCTATTGAGTCCTTCCCCCAAACCTGGGCTATGCAAATATTATTAATTAATGATATTAAAAGTATTGTCACAGGATGTAAACTATTTCAAGTAACGCTGCCTTTTGTAATTAACTGGCGGTGCTTCAGATTTTGAGGGGCTTGTACCCAAGGCACCCATCACTATTGGTATTATCTTTGCTTTCTTTTGCCACAATAGTTCTTATATTTACATTATTATTTTCATTTGTGAGGAGTGTAAATGTTGAAATCAATTAGCCATTTTGTCAAGGCTCCGGTGGCAAATGAAATGTTAGGTCCCTACCAGCTTTGGAATGCATTTACTATTACACCCATTAGTTTCTCTTAAAATTCTGGAATTCTATAGATCAAAATAAATAGACTTGACAACTTAACAGTGTTAGACTTAAGAGAGTAGATGGGACTACAGAAGAACAGATGGACAAGACAATTTCATAAAACACTGAAAGACTATGGAAGAGCATAGTACAAGAAAATCACCCATAGACGAACACGATGCAAAATGCTTCCATTAGAAAATTTATATCCATGTTTTGCTCATGTATATCCATATTCACTCACATCTTTCCTTCTTCTTCTTTTCTTCTTCTTCCTCTTCTTTTTCACATTAACAAGAGTGTATCTAAACTGTACCAAAGAGATTCAAAGGCAAAGTCACATATGAATCAGTTTGTTTTATGAGCAGCTGCCTAAGCAGTCCCAGGTCAAATATCCTAATTCAGAAGAGATCATAATCAGGTACATTAAAAAAAAAAGTTGTACAATCAGGGAACTCTTTTAAGAAAAAAAAAATCAATCATGAAATACAAATACACGTTAAGTAGCCTTTTGTTCCCCTGTGGTTGGTTCACTGAAGAGCTCTGCAGTGAGAGCTCTATACTTTTAAAGAAGCAGTTAGAAAATTTGGATATCGTCATGTCCCTTATTGCTGTGTTGATTTAAAATCTGGCCAGATATCTACCCCAATATAAAATCAAAGAGGGTTTTCCTCAGAGAGAAGTATCAGCAAGCAATGGCCACTAAAAATCACTCTGTGGTTCATTTAAGTGTAAACTGAATGTCACTTTTACTTTTTGTTCCCTCTTCTCTGAATACGAGATAAAGGAACAAAATGATTTCAGAATGGTTTGATTTTGAATTGTTCCTTGAATAATTCCTTCTGCAAATTAAACCTGTTTTGGCAGCTATCTGCAAACCATGCTGCTATAATGAAACAATAAGTAAAGATAATGTCCGTTTACAGCATGGCAAAAATTCCCAGTTTCCTGAACTGACAGCAATGTATTGCTGGAATAATTACGGAAAGTAATTAAAATGTATTCTTCCATTTTCATGGTTAAAGTCTGGGGTATACTTGCCTCTCTGGGAAACATGGGATCACTTAGATTATGGGCTGGATGTCTAGGATTACTTCAGGACACAGTTGTGTGAAGGGGATGGACGATACAAGCAAGCTGAAATATTTTCAGTACTGATAGTTCTCGGTTAACAACAACAATTTGGACGGGAATTCCCATCGCTAAGTGAAGCAGTTGTAAAGAACAATGTCACCTAACTGTGCTGCTGATTGACAGTAGTTCTGGCTCTTGTTACTATCAAGCAAATATCATAATGCTGTTAACAGAGTGATGTGGCTGCCATTCATGACCTCCAGTTAGCTGCCCCATTGACTTGGCTTGTCAGAAGCCTGAAGTGACTGTCACAAATGGCAATCAAGGGACTGTGGGATGCTGCGACACTGTCATTGCAAGCTGATTGCCAAGTACTTGGATCGCAATCAGATAACTATGGGGATTGCTGCAAGAGCTGCAGCTTCAAGAACTGATTATATCTATATATATATATATATATACTGCTCATTCTGCTGAACAAGTGATTGTTGAATGAGAACCAGCCTTCCGATATCGATCGTTTTAAATTCCCAACAATATTTACTAGGAACATTTTGCACAGAAATTATACAAAACATAACTCCCATGGCTACATTTCTACACAATTACTTTTGCAAGCAGAAAGAGAATCCTCCTGAAATAATATGATGGGGGAAATCTAACGAGATGCTCTACATCAGTGGTCCCTAATCTTTCCAGCTTTGTGGACTGGTGGCGGTGGCCAGAGGAGGGGAGAGAGAGGTTGGTTCCCCAGAAATGGAGCTTTGCGCACAAGCGAGTGTGCCTGCCTCTCGCACAAGTGGAGCTTTGACCGTGGGCAGGCACGCCCACCGCTTGCACAGCCCGGTTCTGAATGGGCCGCAACCCGGTATGGAGCCGTGGCCCAAGGGTTGGGGGCCCCTGCTCTACTTTCTACATCAATCTTCCCCAACCTAGTGTCTTCCAGGGAGTGTTACAACTCCTCTGATCCTACAGCTGTTAATGCTGACAAAGAATTCTGAGTGTTGCAGACCTTCTAGCAAATCTGAATGGCATCAAGCAGCCAAAATGTTGAGAAATAAACACTGACATGATCATATATTAACAGATGGTGAAGAAGAAAAAAATGTAACAAGAAAAATATATAGGGGGAATCATGTCCCCCAAAATGCCACTGAGCAAAACCAGAAGCGGGTGGACCCAAGGGATTTCACACTGATGGTTGCAGTGTGAGTCAACAGAACCCATTTTGTATATGCTGGATGCCACAAAACCAGGGAATGCGCCACCATGCAACTGGACTTCCCATCCAGGTTGATTGATTACCGTTCATTGTTGCCAGAAGAAAATGAGCAAATGAATGGCTCTGGAGCATGGTGAAGTGATAAGTTTCTCAGCACTTGGGTGACGGGCTGTGCCTGTCAGCATGATCCATGCTGCAGCTGTAGTGAGACACGAAGGCACCTGCAAAGTCTACAGCTTGCTGGACGGGATGGGGAAATATTGATGTGCACATCTACAGAAAGAAGAAGAGCAACTGCCTGGAAGCCACTGGCCTCACTTTAAATAATCCACAGGTGAAGGATGAATTGCAAATGTACCTTAGAAATCCATTTCACAGTCATTCTTCACAACATCATGCTCAGATTCTTGCGTATCAGCGTATGCATTCTCTTCCAAGACATACTGGCACTGATTGTGGAGAGGAAAACAGGCTGGGAATCTTGTACAATGAGGTGATTTTCTTGGCCAATCAATTATGTCTACAAAGCAGCTGGTGTCTTAAAAATGCCCAAGTGTCCTTCGTAGTGTTTCAGTACTAATAACATTGGACGCTTTCCCTTGGAAGAGCTGATGCACTGAACAGCATGACTTGTTTTATTGTTAAAACCCTTTTTTCCCCCGACATTTTTCCCTGCCTCCAACCTCTACCAGCCTGAGAAAGTTCATTGCATTTTGTTGTTGCTTTTAAAATCTGCAGAAAAACAGATGCTCCGCAGGATTCACATTCACCAAAAAAATAAAAAAAAGGCTATGCATGGCCTATAAATACATGATTTCATGAATCTGGAATTTAAACTGATTTCTCCCAAGGACAGCATACATTACATTACCCATAGTGATTGACATGAATGCTCCTACATCCTGTGATTATTTTTCAAGTCCCAAAGATTTCTTGTGTAGACTCACAATGGCTCACAGTTCTAATGCAATGTATGCAATACAGGGGCTTAGGCAGTATGGAGACTCTTTTTTGTGTGATTTTTGCACATTCTGTGTCGAAGGCAAAGCTCTTAAATTCCAGTGTATTGCCTACCCTATTTAATAGTAATATTGTTCTGAAATGAGCTTTGTCCCACTGGAATGTTCAGCACCAGTTTTTGTATTATACAAATATACTAATGTGTTAAGAGAGAGGTTTCCAAGGGTCAGGAAGTAAATTCTCTAAAACCATCTAAGCCTCCACTGTGAGTTCCATACTCCAATCAACAGGACTAGACAAGACCGTCCAAATACTATAAAGAAAAGCTTCAAAGAAGCAAGATTTGCAGTCACAGATTCTGGAACATCCTCCAGGATGCATGCAGCTGTAGCATCCCCAACAGAACTGGTGTATGTGCAGACATCAGTCTCTTATTTTCTCTTTCTGAAAACTTCTTCATCCTTGCTTTCCACTGCAGAAAGTGCAATGAGCATTTGAGCCGCATAGTAAGTGGCCATGATAATGACCCTTGAGTAGGGGACAGGAAAGCAGAATTTGTTGACCGCAATAGTCAGGTCAGATACCATGAAAAGCACAGAACCGATGCAAGCAGAAAGCTTGGTCCAAGTCCAAAGGTCGTTGCAGAGCTGCACACCAGCCATAGCCCGCCAGCCCATGAAGCCAATTAAGGCAACGTAGACAGCTACCAAATAGGTAAATGGGCCTGAAAGGTAGGAATACAGGAAGGTGTAGCAGAAGCTGGACACCAAGCCAATCCCAAGGCCAACTTTCAGATCCCAAGGTTTAATCCCAAATGCTGAGGAATACAGTATGTGTGTAATACCGAACATCAACAAGCCTGGGGAAAGAAAACAAATGCTCTGAATTAGTAGAGAATAAAATACTTAACATAGCTTACAATTATAGTTTCAGAACATTGCTCAGCAAAAATTACAAGTGAAAAATCATGTGTGCTGTGTGCTAACTATGGAAATAAGTTTTAGCTTTTCTATAAAAAAAACCCTGTCTGGAGTTACCAGGTGTCAGCTTAAAAAAATCCAGGGTAACTCCTAGAGATACAGAAAAATTGTAACGCTGCTGCCTTTTAGTAACTATTGGATCTTTTGAAACCCAGATATGGCCTTCCTAAATCATAGAATCATGGGGGCTGGAAGGGACTTTGAAAGCCTTTTAATCTAATCTCCAGCCCAGTGCCATTCTGTACAAAAGGCTGTCCAACATTTTCTTGAAATTCTAATTGCATCAGTGTGGATGAAAAAATGTGGAATAGAAAATGTCAGCTTCAACTTTGCAGTAAGTAAAAAGAATGTAAAAATGACTATGCCATTTCAGACTGAGAGAGAAATTCTCACACAGTCAAAAGAAAATACCTTATATTTATTCTGTTCTGCTTTTTTTAAAACAAGAAATAGATAGAAATTGTCTCTCCCACTCCAAGAAGAATGGCCTCTAGCCCTTTGCATCACATGGGTAGGAAAATAGGTACAAGAATCTGAATCATGATTTTATTAGAAACAGAGGTTATGTTTAATACCCAGCAGTTGGCAGAATTGTTTGTGTCTTTGGAAAACTGTTCCACCTGGCTAGCCAAGGAGAGCCTGACACAGACCCAGATGTTCTCATCTATACAACCACTAGTGCACCATGGTAAAACTATTTGGAGATGGGATGACTGGCTTAATTCTGATACTGGAAGAATACCTGGGATTACAACAAAAATCTACAAAATTTATTGTAAGGGGTGAAAACTAGAGAACGTATATTGTAGGAAATGTATATTGTAACTGTAACTCTTAAAAAAAGAGTCAATGTCTCCTGCCAGAAAAGATTCACAAAAAGTCACATCTTCGTTTCTTCAAGGGTAATCGGGATGTATGCATGACAAACTAAAAATACTACAGATCCCTGACACCTATTGTGATTATGAATTTGTTTCTTGATTTATTAATTAAACATTTGGGCAGGAGTGATTTAGAAAAATTACTTCAGGATGCAAAGGGATGACAAAGACTACAATGAAACTATGAATTTCATCATGGGACCAAAAAAATAAAAGGAACAGACAACAGAAAAGAAAGATCTCTCGCTATCCAATAGATCTATTCCTGTAAGAGCCACTTCATCCACTTTCTCCCCATTCTGCAACTCAAATCAGGGTAATTGGACTGAAGGTAAAGAAGTTAGGGCATGCAGTGACATCCCTCCATGTAGCAACATGACATTTTCTTGTCTCAGTCGCTTGTTAAAAGGTAAAGGTTCTCCTCACACATACATGCTGATCATTTCCGGCTCTAGGAGGCAGTGCTCATCTCCATTACAAAGTCGAAGAGCCAGTGCTGTCCGAAGAGGTCTCTGTGGTCATGTGGCCGGCATGACTAAAGGTCGAAGGTGCATAGAACGCTATTATCTTCTCACCAAAGTGGTCCTTATTTTTTCTAATTGCATTTTTATATGCTTTTGAACTGCTAGGTTGGCAGAAGCTGGGACAAGTAATGGGAGCTCACTATATTATGTGGTGCTAGGGGTTCGAACCGCCGAACTGCTGACCTTTCTGATCAACAAGCTGAGCATCTTAGCCACTGCGTCCTTCATTCGCTTGTTACTGCTCCCCATATCTCTAGTTGTATACTAACGCTTCACACAGAAACAGACTAATTCCAGTTCTGGTACCAAAACTGGGTGTTGATTCCCACTCATTTATCCTTGACAGCAACTGGGCATCTTCCCCAAAAGGTTCTGTGTCTCCTTCATAGCAGAGAAACTCACTAACCGTGAATAAAGTAACCCTGCTCTTGCCAGATGAGGAAAGCATCTCCCAAGGCAGAGAATATCAAACCAGCGAAGATCCTACAGGCATTGTGATGGGCTGTCAGGAAATTGATCCCATGGGCCAGCAAGAAGACCCACAAGCAGAAGATTGGCAAACACTTGATCAGGGCACTGAACCAGGAAGGGCTGGAGGTTGGCAACCAGAGGACAAAGTAGACACAGGTGGCTTTGAAAAAGGGCACGAGTTTAGGACCTTCACTCTTCACCTAGAAGAAACAAGAAGTGGATGTTAAGGTCTATTCAATAGGCACTGAGCCCCAAATAATAGCAGTAAACAACAGGATCAAATCCTTCCTCTGAGTCTAGACAGCCTACTTCCCCTATTGTTCAAAAATCTTGCTGTTCAGCAGCATTTTCAAAAACAAAAGTATCTTGAACTTTACCATACTTTCACCCTCTCCATATGCCATTAGCTGTTTAGCCACAGAATTTTTCCATGCCAAGAACAGACGTTTACTTCCTGCAAAGGATCTGCATCTTGGAAATCCATCTGTCTGATTATGATTAGGGTTTTTAAATGTACTGTAATACTGTTTGTATACAGGAGTGAAATTTGTTCTAAATGGGTTCTGAAGTTTAGTTCTCTCTCACACAGATATGCACTCATACATAGCACATGTATAGTCTACTCTGCACATACTGTACATGCGCAAACAAATATAATTTTCCAAAACCATAGCAGCAGCAGGGCATAAGCTGCTTTGTAAGTTTCTGGCACCATGCATTTATTTATATGCATATATAGGAAGACAGAACCTTGGAAAGTCTCGTGATGTAAGGAGTCCTTCGAGATGTGTGGGCCTTTACCCTTTGAGAGTCTCTGGTCACCGTGAAGGATTAGGGAATATTAGACTGGATCAAGAGCGGACAATGGTTTTTAGCCAAGATCAGAATGACTTTTAAAAAATTACTTTGGCTTACAAGGTGAGCAAGAGGGTATGTCCAGTGATGTGGCAATGCCATTGAATGCATGAAAATGAATGTATTTCTGTATAAAGTTTGCTTGAAAATAGAGGGGGGGGGGCAGCCAAACTAGCAATAGTCAGCCATTTTGCAGCCAGATGGTATAAAATGGGTAGGGAGCAGCATACAATTGCAGCCCTGGATTGCTTGGCCTTTCCTAAGAAGTTAACAAAAGGCTTCAACATGCCATTACCACCACCAGGATCCTCACACAGCTATAACCACACATCCGCTGTCATTCAATAAACATTTCTCAACATAATACTAGGTAGAATCAAATTTCCGGATAGCTGTTAATTATGTGCATTCCCTTAATTGTGTGAATTTACCTTCCCTACAATCTCTTTTTAATTGCTTTAGAAATATGGATAGTCCTAGCACTTTTCTGACAGAGAATGTTAATTTGTGATCCAACCTCATTTTTCATCAATTTTCAAGATTAAGGCTGCAAACGATTAGGAATTTAAATTCAGAGTGACCCAAATAAACATTGGCCTTAATTATGGTTATAATACATCCATGATTCCATGACAGGAATGATCCCATTTCTGAGCTGATTCTATGCAAACCCACCACCATGATTTGTTTGGCAAATTATGTCCCAAACCTTCTACATTTTTGATGAATAACACTGCATTTTGCATTACCTCATCATATTTAATTTGTTTGCTATCGTCCTTATGACAATTTTAAATTTATACTCTAACACTGACATTATAGATGGGGTAGAATTTGTTTTACAATAAGCACACAAAAGATCAGCCTTAGTAAATCTGCACCAAAGAACCTGTGTGTTTTTTTTTTAACATGAGCTGGATATGTGTAAATATTTAGAAATAGCACAAGGTGTTCCTTCAAAAGGCTTTTCCAAAGCAATTCACTTTTATTGGCACTTTAAAATATATCATTTCACACTGATCTCTACAAGAGCAGTAACATCTACTACAATTGCTGTAGGATAAGAAAAAAACTAGAAAAAACGTTTGCTAAGCAGTTGCTTTATTCTTGTTTAGTCTCCCGCTGAAAAACATGTATTGCTGATCTGAGAAATTTCTCAGTATTTTATCCGAGACATGATTCACAAATTCAAACTGGCATTGTCCACAACATACATTCTAAATCAGTGACAATAAATCTTATTCCCATTTATAAAAGCTCTGGGAAACATTCAAAACAATATGTATAAATAACGCATTGACCAACTTGTTTAAAAAAGAACAATGAAAACTTTTTTTCTCCATGCAAGTTACTCAGAAGAAATTCTATAACCTGAAAATGGGTATTTTCTATGGATGAGGGCCCTGTGACAAAGAGATTTATTCTATTAATATTGATATAGAGAAACAGCTTAACAGAGGCATAATAGGTAATAATAGAATAGAGACATGCAAATGGAAGATGCAAGATTGACTTGCCATCTTTCCTTCAACCAAATGGAATGCTCCCCTTTTAGGTAAAACTCCTGCCAAACAGATTATTCCATTCTTCCTATACAGGTAGTCCTCGACTTACGACCACAATTGAGCCCAAAATTTATATTGCTAAGTGAGAAGTTTGTTAAGTGAATATTGCCCCATTTTACAACTTTCCTTGCCACATTTGTTAAGTGAATCACTGCAGCTGTTAAATTAGCAACACCGTTGTTAAGTGAATCTGGCTTCCGCATTGACTTTGCTTGTACGAAAGTCACAGAAAGTGATCACATGAGCCTGGGACACTGCAATTGTCATAAATGTGAGTCAGTTGTCAAGCATCCAAAGGTAAATCCCATGACCTCGGAGATGCTGCAAGGGTCATAGTGACCATTCTGAAAGAAAAACGGTCATAAGTCTCTTTTTCCAGTGCTGCTGTAACTTCGAATGGTCACTAAATGAACTGTTGTAGTCAAGGACTATCTGCACTTTATTTTAGTTTTCCAATGCTTAACCTACACTTTAAAGCAGGGATGTCAAACTCAATTTCATTGAGGGCCGCATCAGGGTTGTGTTTGACCTTGGGAAGCCAGGGTGGGTGTGGCCAGCTCAACGTCACTCATTGATGTTCTGTTTTCAGCTGCGATGGCCTCCTGGAGCCCTCTGCCAGCAAAAATGGAGCAACCTCCCCAGGTTCTGTTTTCACTGGCAGAGAGTTGCAGGAGGCCATTAGGGCCGAAAATGGAGTCTTGGAGGGCCTTCACTGTTTCCAGGGCAGACCCACAGGCCAGATCTAAGCACCCCGTGGGCTGGGCCTTGAGTTTTGACACCCCTGTTTTAAAGTATAAAGCATGAGTGGTAATAACTGGACTGTGTTGAGTGGATTTTATCTTTCTGAGTGTTTTTAAAATAATTTTTTTGTATCTTTGCAAAACTGGGATTTTTTCCAAGTATACTCTCTTCATTTGTTTCTTATTGTTCTCAGTTTAATTTCTGCCCTGTTGATTGGTCACTTCCTTCATTACAGAGCAAGCTTTAATCCAAACTGTGATTTACCTCTTCACTTCTGACTGTTCTCTCAGTACAGTATTACAATAAGGCTATTAGATCTGAGCTAATTTTTAAAAAAATATTGGATAGGATATAAGAAATTTAAATATTTTAAATTTCAGGACACTAATTGAAATGTCCTGCCTTACAAAATCAATGATTCTATTTTTTCATGAATACCAAATATATTCCTTATGAGTTAAAAGGCTAAACCAATTCAATAAAAATTGGGTAGGCTTATTGTTAATGTAATACATTTGAAGGCACTTTAATATGCATGATTTGGCCATGCTCCTTTCTGATTTGACATTAACACTTTGGTGGAACAGGTGTTTTGGGATGAAATAAAATCATTTACTAGATCATATACTATATATTGGTAAATTATATCCAGAACTTTAAAATTTATCTATGTATGAGAAACATTGGTTATATTGCACTTCGACAATGCTCCTGTGAAAAAATGTGATTATGTACTACTTCAAGAATATTTGTTCCCCAGAGTCTAAAGGGTAATTTAATAAAATTTGTCAACTCCCAGCTTTTAAATTGGCTCTATGGCAACAAGGGAAAAATAAGAAAATATGATTCTGTGTGGCCTAATATTCTTGTATTGTAGAAAATTAGATAAATGTCATTGCTTATGTCTTTCCTTTAATCTTCTTCCCTGTATTTATTTCTTTTGTACCAATGCTATCTTGTAGCTTGTAATATTCAGAGTTTGAGAGAAAGAGAGACTGGTTAAATGGTTAAATGGCACTTGCAGGCTCTGCTTTTTGTTTCATTTTTATATTTGTGAAAAAATTCATTAAAATTGTGCATTACAAAATCTGGGCTACAAAAATCTAGTTAGCTCCTAGAATGCAGCACAGATACAGAAATCTCTTAATACTGTATTGCAGTACAGTATATGTTAACCTCAGATTATGCAGTCTATACCAGGTAATTGTAACGAGGAACTGCTGCAATTTCTTTACATAATCGATTGTGGAAAGAAATATCCATCTGGTTCAGTTCCAAACTGGGAGAAAGACACTGGAAACATGGAAGCTGATTGGAAAGAAGGTTTAATATTGAACAGAACCACCAAGCACATGGTTCTGGTGCAGCTGACTAAATGGAGTTGGTGGGGGGGGGGGGGGGTTATACCTTCTTTGAGCTTTGCACTTGAGCTTTCTGTTCCTGTGCAAGAACATGTGTTCTATTGGCTGATTCATATGGGGTCATGTAGGAATTATGCAGGGGTCATAGCTGGCTCCATAGGCAAAAGAGGACATGCAAATCCTAGGTGCTTGTCTGAACTACATTTGTTTGAAGTTTGGACTGCTCTGAAGGTGATGCAATGAAGGCTTGTGTTCTGAAAGGGTGCTGGGCAATTCCTATTGTGGCTTAATGGCTTTCGTCCAGTTTTGGCTCTTGGGTGGGCAGCTCTTGACTGCCTTTGTTCAGACTTTGCTTCAGGAAATTTCAAAATAACCTGTCTTGAATGGATTTCTGCCTGCAGTATTTGCTTTGCCTATGAGTAGAGCTATCTAGTTTTCAATAAGTTCTTTATCTCTTAAGTGTTGACATCTGCTGTGGGCTATTAAGGAAAGTCGAAGTTGCTTTCTGCCTCTAAAAAACATGTTTCTCCAGTTCCCCCTTTGGGAAATATAATATTCTGCCCTTTTTAAAATATTCCTCAAAGTATTTCATTCTTCTAGGAGGGGTGTGGCTTCCCACACAATATTATCTGACAGAAGGCACTGGATCACATGCAAATTGCTATCTTATAAAATTTC